CACGGCATGTGGACGTATGACCGTACGGCAGACTTCGATTAGTTGTTTCTGGATGGATTTCTGTCGGTCGTTGAGTTGCCATTGCAGGTCCCAGGCATAGCTCAGACCCCAGTACTCGCTCCTTCCCCACTGTTTGCTCGCAGCCATGCTTGTCTGTGACAAACACATATCCAGGGTAGAAAGAGCGAGATAGTCTCATATATATCTTAATCCTACCATATGTAGACACCGGGTGTAAAAAAAACCGCCGTTATGTAGACAGATTCGTTAGGTAGACATATTTGCTGTCTACCTAATGTTAATATATAAATACTTTTTTATTTTCTATTCTCTTTGCGATCGTAAGATATATGAACACACTAAGCGCTATATACATTGTAATACCACGAACAGACAGAGAAAGAAAGAGAGAGGGAGAGAGAGAATGAGTGATAGTGAAAGACAGACAGAGAGAGAGCGAGAGAGAGAGAAAAGGAGAGAGAGAGAGAAAGACAGACATAGAGAGAGAGAGAGCGAGAGAGAGAGAATGAGAGAGAGAGAGAGAGACAGAGAGAGAGAGAGAGAGAGAGAGAGAGAGAGAGAGAGAGAGAGAGAAAGCGAGAGAGAGATAGAGAGAGAGCAAGAGCGAAAGAGAGAAGGAGAGAGAGAGAATAATTATTATGTCATTAAAATAAAAGAATATATACAGTCTTCGTCAACTACCAAATCATTGTTATAGCTAGGTGCATCATCATTTTTCATTAAACGCTGATAATATAAAACATTAGATTATAGTAACGCTAGAGTGATAATAAAACACGGGCGTTACACATTCCTACTGCGCTTAATTTATTTTACCACCCCCTCTACTTCCCCAACACACATCATTATCCTTACGATCATTATTGTTTTAACGAAATAAAGAGGGTATATAAAAAAGAACCCGAAATTAATAGAGACCTGCGTTCTCTCACCTGAGGTGTGTTGTCGAAGAAGAAGAAGCCAACAATAAGAAGCAGCAGTAGCAGTAGCAGCAGCAGCAGCAGCAGCAGCAGCGGCGGCAGCAGCAGCAGTAGTATACGCACGCACGGTGAGATGCTATCTGATGATTGACCTCACACTCACTCTCCGCTCACACATTTATACCACTGCCTGGGGCTGTTACTGGGCTAGGACCACTTCAGGCAAGCACAAGGTGTGCCTGGACTGGCCTGGACATTCAGCAGCCGGATATCCGCACGAAGCGCGCCAACGCCGCTAGCGACGCTCTAACACGTCTTTGCTGCCTCCTCCTTCACCTTACACGGTTTACATATATAACGCAAGCACCAACTTCGCTGAATTGAGCAGTTCTGGCCATTCGACGATCGGTTTGACTAACCAGGGAGCTCGACATTTCTTAGAAATGCTTCCAATTCGAAGTTCGTTATTCGGCGCGCTTTCTTTGCCGTAATAAACGAATTTCTAGTTTCTTCTTTGTTTGTTGTTGTTGATGAGGGTAATACATATGTTTTGCGACAGACGGCGCAACGAACGCCGAATCTAGAGGCATATTAGACTGGTACCCGTTTGCCACCTTTACTCCGGCATATCGCTACACTCACGCGTAGTGTAGCGTCTGGAAC